ACATCCACAGGGGCCCGGCCGACTCTCCTGACCCCGTGACCTCTGTCAGGGCCACAGCCACATACGGGGGTCACAGCTACACCCTAACATCCACAGGGGCCCGGCCGACTCTCCTGACCCCGTGACCTCTGTCAGGGCCACAGCCACATACGGGGGTCACAGCTACACCCTAACATCCACAGGGGCCCGGACGACTCTCCTGACCCCCTGACCTCTGTCAGGGCCACAGCCACATACGGGGGTCACAGCTACACATTAACATCCACAGGGGCCCGGCCGACTCTCCTGACCCCGTGACCTCTGTCAGGGCCACAGCCACATGCAGGGGTCACAGCTACACCCTAACATCCACAGGGGCCCGGCCGACTCTCCTGACCCCGTGACCTCTGTCAGGGCCACAGCCACATACGGGGGTCACAGCTACACCCTAACATCCACAGGGGCCCGGACAACTCTCCTGACCCCCTGACCTCTGTCAGGGCCACAGCCACATACAGGGGTCACAGCTACACCCTAACATCCACAGGGGCCCGGCCGACTCTCCTGACCCCGTGACCTCTGTCAGGGCCACAGCCACATGCAGGGGTCACAGCTACACCCTAACATCCACAGGGGCCCGGCCGACTCTCCTGACCCCCTGACCTCTGTCAGGGCCACAGCCACATACAGGGGTCACAGCTACACCCTAACATCCACAGGGGCCTGGACGACTCTCCTGACCCCCTGACCTCTGTCAGGGCCACAGCCACATACGGGGGTCACAGCTACACCCTAACATCCACAGGGGCCCGGCCGACTCTCCTGACCCCGTGACCTCTGTCAGGGCCACAGCCACATACGGGGGTCACAGCTACACCCTAACATCCACAGGGGCCCGGCCGACTCTCCTGACCCCCTGACCTCTGTCAGGGCCACAGCCACATACAGGGGTCACAGCTACACCCTAACATCCACAGGGGCCCGGCCGACTCTCCTGACCCCCTGACCTCTGTCAGGGCCACAGCCACATACAGGGGTCACAGCTACACCCTAACATCCACAGGGGCCCGGCCGACTCTCCTGACCCCCTGACCTCTGTCAGGGCCACAGCCACATACGGGGGTCACAGCTACACCCTAACATCCACAGGGGCCCGGCCAACTCTCCTGACCCCGTGACCTCTGTCAGGGCCACAGCCACATACAGGGGTCACAGCTACACCCTAACATCCACAGGGGCCCGGCCAACACTCCTGACCCCGTGACCTCTGTCAGGGCCACAGCCACATACAGGGGTCACAGCTACACCCTAACATCCACAGGGGCCCGGCCGACTCTCCTGACCCCGTGACCTCTGTCAGGGCCACAGCCACATACGGGGGTCACAGCTACACCCTAACATCCACAGGGGCCTGGACGACTCTCCTGACCCCGTGACCTCTGTCAGGGCCACAGCCACATGCAGGGGTCACAGCTACACCCTAACATCCACAGGGGCCCGGCCGACTCTCCTGACCCCCTGACCTCTGTCAGGGCCACAGCCACATACGGGGGTCACAGCTACACCCTAACATCCACAGGGGCCTGGACGACTCTCCTGACCCCGTGACCTCTGTCAGGGCCACAGCCACATGCAGGGGTCACAGCTACACCCTAACATCCACAGGGGCCCGGCCGACTCTCTTGACCCCGTGACCTCTGTCACGGCCACAGCCACATGCAGGGGTCACAGCTACACCCTAACATCCACAGGGGCCCGGCCGACTCTCCTGACCCCCTGACCTCTGTCAGGGCCACAGCCACATACAGGGGTCACAGCTACACCCTAACATCCACAGGGGCCCGGCCAACACTCCTGACCCCCTGACCTCTGTCAGGGCCACAGCCACATACAGGGGTCACAGCTACACCCTAACATCCACAGGGGCCCGGCCAACTCTCTTGACCCCCTGACCTCTGTCAGGGCCACAGCCACATACAGGGGTCACAGCTACACCCTAACACCCACAGGGGCCCGGCCAACACTCCTGACCCCCTTACCTCTGTCAGGGCCACAGCCACATACAGGGGTCACAGCTACACACTAACATCCACAGGGGCCCGGACGACTCTCCTGACCCCGTGACCTCTGTCAGGGCCACAGCCACATGCAGGGGTCACAGCTACACCCTAACATCCACAGGGGCCCGGACGACTCTCCTGACCCCGTGACCTCTGTCAGGGCCACAGCCACATACAGGGGTCACAGCTACACCCTAACATCCACAGGGGCCCGGCCAACACTCCTGACCCCGTGACCTCTGTCAGGGCCACAGCCACATACAGGGGTCACAGCTACACCCTAACACCCACAGGGGCCCGGCCAACTCTCCTGACCCCGTGACCTCTGTCAGGGCCACAGCCACATACAGGGGTCACAGCTACACCCTAACATCCACAGGGGCCCGGCCAACTCTCCTGACCCCGTGACCTCTGTCAGGGCCACAGCCACATACAGGGGTCACAGCTACACCCTAACACCCACAGGGGCCCGGCCAACTCTCTTGACCCCCTGACCTCTGTCAGGGCCACAGCCACATACAGGGGTCACAGCTACACCCTAACACCCACAGGGGCCCGGCCAACACTCCTGACCCCGTGACCTCTGTCAGGGCCACAGCCACATACGGGGGTCACAGCTACACCCTAACATCCACAGGGGCCCGGCCAACTCTCCTGGACCTACACCAACACCAGCAGAAACAACACTGGACAGGCCTGAACCTTCAGGGGAAACTTGCGTGTCTCTCCTCCGCTGATCACTCTGTTTCTCACCCATTTTTTTAGAATACTGCACTCAGCGAGGACATTATCATTTTTACGGTAAAAGCCAGACTACAAGTTCTTCCAACCAGACTCAATCTTTCTATCTGGTTTCCTACAGCTCAGGTCCCTCACTGCTTGCATCACACTACAGAACAGATCACTGAAACACTGCCACACATCTTAAACGGCTGCCATGCCTATACAGGAGTGTACATCGCACGCCACGACAGAATAGTGGATCTTATAGTGAAGGACATATCAAGCCTTTTCTCATCTGCTGTAAAAATGTACAAACATTCGTGTGTAAAATCATCTATGTTTCAGAAGTGTAATAGCCCTGAAACCTTTTCTCATGTGCTTGCAAATACACCAGATATTGTTGTGATTAATGAGGAGATCAGCGAGGTGTTCGTTGTGGAGGTTGCATGTACATTTGACTCTAGTATGGAAGAAGCTTTTATGACTAAGATGATTAAATATCAACCACTCCTAAACGTCATCTCAGAGTTAGGTTATCAGAGCCGACTTTTTGTGCTCATATTTGGCAGCTTAGGACACACACACAGGCTGGTTGTAAGGGGTCTTCAACAACTAGGGATGCCCAAAAAGAGGGCTAAACGGCTAGCAAAGCACTGCGCTCTCTCTGCTATTATAGGCAGCCGTCATATCTGGCGGAGACAGTGCTACTGTATCCATAACAACTGAGTGATGCTAAATATTGTGCAGATCTGCTGTGTGCCGCTTGTCCATGATTATGTGCATGCATTTGACTGCATCTATAGTATTTATGTCCCTGTAAATCATTTCTTTTAAGTGGACTCAAATAAATAGTTAAAATGTGTGTGTGTGTTTGTGTGTGTGTGTGTGTGTGTGTGACTCACTGCATGTAGAAGCTGTGGAAGATCTCCAGCATGCGGTTCAGGACGTCCGGCTCCAGGGAGTTCTGGAAGATCTGCGGATACGTGTCCGGGCTGATTTGCTGAAACAGGGAATGCTGGAGTGAGAAGCAGATTAAGGACGGCTGGAGACTCTTCCGGCTTTGGCGTATAGTTCGGGACATTTACATTTCATTTAATATTTAACAATATTGTTGATCTCCTGCATTGACAGCATTATATGAGAACTGAGCTGGACGATGACATCACGGTTTTCTCCAGAGCGGCTATATATATATATAAATGAACTAAATTAAAACTTTTTTACAACAGAAATGAAGCATCACTGAGCTGGCTTAAGCTGGACTGAGACGCTATTCTCTTCTGGAAACACACTCTGTTGCATTATCATCTCTGTAAAGCTGCTCTGAAACACTGAGTTGTAAACAGCGCTGTATAAATAAAGCTGACTCGACTTGAGACGGAGGGCGGCACTGACGGTACCTTCAGATATCTGTAGGTGCATTGTGGGTAACGGCTGATCTTCCTGAGGTCGGCCTCCAGCTGGAAACTGCTGATGGGTGGAGGAGGAATCGGTTCAGGAGATGAAGATGAAGCCCTGAAACACAAGAGTCCCATAGCCTGTGTAAAACACTGGGCGTAGAGTGTGTGACGTCACCCGTAGTGTTTCTGAAGAGCGTTTCTGAAGCCTAAAGTGGGCGGAGCCGGCCGTCGCCATCTTGGCAGCGTCACTCCCGGATAAACGAACATGTGCAGCGAGGCGATTAGCTGAGGAGACGTGACGCTAACACACAGCAGACAAACGGCTAGCAGTGACATCAGCGGCAATCCACCTGTCACTCAAGTGGCCACGCCCTTAATTATGCACAACTTTAAGGCTTAATATAATTTAAACGTATGAGTTATAAAAAAATCCCCCCCCTTACAGTCGTAATGAAGAGCAAAACTAGCGATATAGACCAAATCCACTTTCTGCACCAGACTGTAAACATGTGTTTTCCTGCTGTAAAGTTGAGCGTTTTAACATGCGGGTCTATGGGACTGAGTCTCTTCTGCAGCCGGCCTCTAGTGGCCAGTGGAGGAACTGCAGGTTAGGGCGCTCAGTGTTGAGAGAGAGAGAGAGAGACGGGAAGGTTAACTCTTGGTTCTCGGCATGTTCTGACCTGGACGGAGCGTCTGAGATCTCCTCCATCTTCTGGATCTTTGGATGCGGTGAAGAAGCGTGAGGCTCGACGGACCCTGAGATCTCCTGTATGATCATCCTCCGCGGGGGTTTCTGACACACACACACACACACACACACACACACACACACACACACACACACACACACACGTGACACAAGGAACTTTTACTTGAAAAAATCTAATAAAACACGACATCAGTTCCTGGTTCTGGACTCACGGTGGATCGGAGATGTTCGGGTTTGTTGATTGGTTGGACGGTTCTCGGTTTGTTCTCCACAGGATCTAGAAGAACACTGGACTTCATCTCCTGATCAACACAGAGAAACAGTGAGAGAGTGTGTGTGTGTGTGTGTGTGTGCGTGTGTGTGTGTGTGTGTGAGTGAGTGTGTAAGTCTGTGATGCAAGTAAATATCTGCACTGCGTGTTCACAGTGAAGCGAGTCCCTGTGTTCATTTACACAAGCAGAAAATCACTAAACCCTGCAGACACACGCACACACACACACACACACACAACAACCGCATTCTAGATCATCATTCCAGGGTTCGTACAGAGACTGTAAAATGAAACTCCAGGACTTTCAAGGACTTTTTAAGCACTACTTTTTTGATTTTCAAGGACTTCAATCAGAGATCTCACTTATCAACATCTTTATTATTCTTATTTGTTGTTTTTTGACCAGCGCTGTTAGACGTGAGAAATCACCATAACACTGGAAAGGATACTATAATATAACACTCGAACTATAACAAAGATTCAAACTGTTGTTTTTCCATGAATATATATTGACCTGAAGAATGGAAGTTGTATTATATACTTATCATAAACTTAATATCATGCGAAATAGCGAAAAACGTATGTATGGTGTTTTTTCTCTCAAAAAAATTAAACACTAATTTCATATATATATATATTGTATTTCAATAATTCAAGCACTTGTCAAGCCCCTCTTCATAAATATGGCTGTTTTCAAGGGTTTTCCAGGACTTACATTTAGAAAAGTCCTTGTACGAACTCTGTTTAACCAAAACACACTCTATTGGTGAACGTACCGCTGTGAGTTTCTCGATCTCGCTCACGGCTTGCTTGTTTCCCGGCTCGAGCTTCAGAACCTGCTCAAAATCTACAAACAAACAAGTGTTTTCCTCAGAAACAAGGATTCGGCTGTGAAAGCGACTGAACTGATGGAACATGGTGTGGTATTTAATAAATGTCATAATCATTTGTCAACACACAAGTATTCATTACTTCAGTGAGCTCATTGTTTCTGCATTAAATTATTACATTGTTTAAATTAATACATTCTTAGCTAACTGTGACTTTGCATATGTACATTTCTGAAATACATAACTTAGACAGTTTCCTCTGATAACAGAACTATCCAAACTGTAATGTGGACTCATGCACTTTCTGTAAAGCTGCTTTAAATGGTGTGTATTGTGTAGCGCTGTGGGAATAAAGTTGAGTTGAGCACGGACCTTCTCTGGCGTCGCGGATCCTCCCTAAAGCGGCTCTAGCCGTCGCTCGTCTGGCGAACGCTTTGGCGTATGAGGCGTCCAGATCGACGGCCACACTGCAGTCCTGCTCCGCCTCGCTGTACCTGCACACACACACACACACTCGTACAGACTAGTACACACTACAAAACAAACACCTGTGCAGTTTGAGGAACGCCATGGCTCTGTTAGCGTGTTACATTACAAGTAACGTGCATTACGTGATCAGATACTTCTGTGATGTAACGAGTAAAGCAACGTTACGTAATCTACATTACCTACAAAACAAGTGTGCACTAGGTAGCAAACATCTCGTCACCTGTGGAGCTTGAGGAACGCCATGGCTCTGTTAGCGTGTAGCAGGGCGTTAGCGCCGTCCGCCTCCATGCCTCTAGAGTAGCACTCCACCGCCGACTCGTACTCGCCTTCCTTAAAGTAAGCGTTTCCCTGGAACATCCACAAACACAGTCAAACCTACACTTATTCACACTCCTTCAACATTATCAGTTTATCCGCTATAGTTTAGGAAATGGTGATAAACATGAGCAGAACTCAGTGGATATTTGACTGGTTTAGTCCGTCCTTCTGTTAGACTCTCACACATGAGTTATGTTGAATATCTGTCAGCTGTTAAATTTAACTACACAATTAGATAATACCAGTTTAGCTCAACCAGTGACCAAGCAATGCTTCATGTTGTTCAGTGTGTGTGTAAAAAGAGCATTAGCAGTTACAGAAAACACACAGAAGAAAACATGATCAGCTCAAAGTGGAGGAATCATTATTGCTCCCACATGTTCATAGATGTCACTGACAGTAATGTCCAATGAGGAGTTAGAGGCTCTCACCCGGTCTTTCTGCACGACGGCCTCTTGTTTCCTCTGCTGTTCCTGCAGACGCTGTAGTGCCGGATCGCTCTCGCTCTTCTCCTCCGCCAGCGTAACGCTCTCGCTCTTCTCCTCCGCCAGCGTAACGCTCTCGCTCTTCTCCTCCGCCAGCGTAACGCTCTCGCTCTTCTCCTCCGCCAGCGTAACGCTCTCGCTCTTCTCCTCCGCCAGCGTAACGCTCTCGCTCTTCTCCTCCGCCAGCGTAACGCTCTCGCTCTTCTCCTCCGCCAGCGTAACGCTCTCGCTCTTCT